ATTCCACGCGTACTGCATACTGCGTACTCATGAATTGTGAACCATGGTCTTCTGGAATGTGAAGATCTCTCTTGAATTGACTCTTGTGATTTGTGAAGTTGCGATCAATTTGCTCGGTGTCTGGATATTCGGGAATTGAAAAGTGATCCCTTATTACTAGCTACAGAGTACTATGGCGTTCACGAATGTCATTTGTTGATTGCTCTGTAGATCCCTCCCTGATCATGCTATTGTGATGAGTATGTTTTCTTTTTCTTAACGCTCCTGCCCTGTTTCAAAACATAGACTAATGGAAGTCATTTCCAAGCAGTGCTGACTAGTCAGAGGTGTTCGTTTGGAGTCCCAACATCAGTTTAGGGTATGCGTACCTCAAGCTTCTCGATACCATGTGTGCCGCTTCAACAGGGAACAATCCAACGACAAATGCAAGTATGCCTTATCCTTGGATGACGAAGGCTTACTGGCCTCTAGGCTTGGGTAGATAGTGTATGTGTGCCCTTTTTCCCTATCCTCAAAAAACAAGTTGCGCCGTTCGACTGCATCTGGGAATCCGATTGACCTGACAGTCCCGTCCCTCCCCCACCCAAACCCAACACCAGCTATCCTAAGGTACTATTAAGACCCCATAATACTCCTAAGTGGCGCAATATAGTGCTGTGCCACAGCTTACTGTAATTGCAAATCGCTGCGCTTAAAATCCTTTTGCGAACTCTGGCGCGGAATCCCGTCAATGAGATGGCAGCATGGAGATAGATGCATCGTGCTGTTGCAGGACTTACGTATCGCGCTGATCTCTACATACAGATTTCAAGGGGCTGAGAGAGCTAAAGACACTCGAAGCATAATTGCCTCTGATTGGGTCCAATGCATATAGGTTCACAGTCAGGTGGCTTGATAACTACCTAAGGACATCGTTAGAGTCACTGCTCGCTAAATAAATGCCGAGGAAGACGTCATGGCTGATCTAAAGAGAGATATCGTTTTACAATTACCTCTCTAAACTGGACCATCATGCGGAAACAGCAATGGAGAGCAGAAATTTTCAGTTGCAAGATAGGTACCTAGGTTTCTTATGCACCTGGTCGATGGTTCCGTCAGGGCCAATGGATTGCAATGGTTGGCCCTCAGAACGACCGTAGTTTTTATGATCGAATACTAGTACGAGCTTTGCCTTCGCTTCCTCTCATCATCTGCTGGTTTGCATTATATGACGAACTAACACAGTCATTCTAATGGGACATGTTTCTACAGAAGGATTTGTTTTTCCCGCTATGAAAGGGATAAAAGTCCCTCCTGCCTTCGTGTGGCTTCATTCCATCTTATTTTGCTGCTTCTTGTTAGCCATCTTTCGATTCTTTGTCATGATCAAAGATTCTCGCTTGCGATTCGTGCTCGTTCGCTTATGCCACTCATCTTATCGAGCAGTGGACCATCTTCATATGAAAGCGGGCTGAAGGTCGAAGCAATCAATAATCAGGGAAGTATAACGATACCCCGCATTTTGCAATCTCTAGCAGTCTAGCTTGACTCGACTCGACACACGCTATCAACTTACTGCACAGGAGGACTTGCCGCCTGCAGCCACATTCAGCAAAGTCCTTCCTTCCCGTTCGGCCTGTTCTGGAAAGATCGATCCGGCAACCGAGAATCAATGATTCACTCAACCATCGACTTCCTCCTGTGGAAATGCACTAAATGGTTTCGGTTCTGGGCGAAAACTAGATATTACTGCTCCTGTTTCACAAGCGTGCATTGAGACATTTAATGGCTTACGGACCCCTTGCGTCGACAGCCAATTGACAGAAACCAGGCCGTTGGTACAGAGCAAGTACTGTACTTGGCGATTTGCTCTTCCCCTGCCCTCCAAGAAGGATGTGGCTCGATACTGAATGTCCTGAATGTCCCGAAAGTCCTGAATGGCCACATAAAATTCCTGGGAGACAGCAGCTTCTCTGCGTTTCCCAGGCCATCCGATGCTGGGATGCATGGATTACCCGCTAGCAGTACGATTCCGAAGAAGCACTTTCCCCCTCTTCGTCTCAAGGATGCGAAACATGCATTGCTACACCAGTCGTGCATCGCACTACCCGACATCCTTGGCCAGCGTATGAAAATCTCCGACTTGCAGGGATCTTTAGACTTATGCACTGTCTCGAGTGGATTATGTTATATTTATCTAGGCCACCATCACACAAAGACCACCGGCTCGGCTCGGCCTTTCCTGATGGGCAACTTCTCTAGCTCTCTGTCACAGGCTCACAGCAGCCAATGAAGATGGTCATTGGAAGCTGAGCCGAAACGAAAGAGACTTGAAGTTCTTCCAACCTTCTTCGTCCGAACAGGTACAGGGTTACAGTTGCACCAGGCTTTCCATTTATTCATAATACAAATAACCTACTACTTCAGGCGCTGCTTTGATGATCTATGTTCGGAACATTTCCCCAAGTGTCGGTGAGGCGACTGGATAAGCGAGCATGCAATCTATCAGTCAGCGAATCCGCCGATTCGAAGGAGTGTTGGCCCCCTTGCAGGTATGGTTGGTCCAACTTCCAAGTATTCCAACTACTGTAGGTAGTATCTATTCTTCCAAGGTCCTTTGAAGACACCGATCAAAACGGCGGTGATATTTTCCAACTTTGACGATCGGACAAGTCTGGAATGGTGGAGGGCCCTTAGGAGTTCGCCTGTTCAAGGCGCAGATTGAGGCTGAATATCTCAAGCCATGATGTGTCACATCAGCAGCGCCACATGTTGTTAATGTGTCTGCTGTCCACTCCGTTGCCGTATAGGCCTCTTCTCCAATAGACAACATCATACTCATCCTGTTGGTGGCTGGATCTCGAAAAACGAAAACTCAAAAAGATGAGGACAGGTAGTGTACATCGTATGGTTGGAGACTGAAGTACTTCGCCATCAGGATTAGCTGTCTCAATACTAAGAGTTCATTTTCTGGAAGAAGAACGGATTACTTCAAGCTTCCATAGCAAATGTCCTGATGCTGACGAGGAATCCTGGTAGAATACGGCCGTGCTGTGTTTTACAAATACGCTTCGCTTCCAATCTGTCGGATCCCTGGGGTGGCCACCTGATCTTCTCTAGCTTTCTCATGGGCTTGCACTTTAAGTTCTTGAACACGAGGGTTCTATATGACAGATGAAGGATATCGAACGGAATGTAAATGGCTATCATCCGGTTCGATTCGATCGTGGTTGAGAAGACTACGCCAGCAGGTTAGGCGTTCCATCTCTCGCACTACTACTGCTTCCAAGTACCTTCTTCGTCGTCTCCGGCCCGGTTCTCTTCGTTAACATCGCCGTGCTTGCTCGACTCAATCGCTTTATTGAACAGCAACGGGACTTACTTCCGAGGCCTTTTCGTACTCGACACTGAACGGAAACAGGGATTGATGACTATCCTTAAATGCGCTGGACTGTTCGGCTAGAACCTTGGGTATCGCCGTCCTGAATCAATCTGAAGTAAGCATAACAGTTGATTTGAGGGTTCGCATTTATCCTAAGGTTTGACATTGATTGTAGTTGTACCGGCACGGCTTGGCGAGAAGATATTCCTCGATTTGGGTCCAAACCTGATGATCTCTTCGCTATCAATTGCTTGAACTTCCTGGTGCGAGAGAAATGCAGAACATGATATCATACACTATCCTGGTCTTTCCTGGTCGAAGTCGCACCATTTCCTACCCTGGTAAAACGGCCGCAGTGCATTGGAATCTCGACAGACTTTTCGTTCCCTTGCCCTCCGAAGATCATCCAATTTATCCGTTGAACTAAGACACTACCACATTCGGCTGACCGATTGATGGAAATTTCTAAATTTATGCATGTAGGTTCCAGGCGATGTCACCTTAACTATAGTATTGTCCATCGCATCGCCATCGCCGCTTTGCCACTTGACAGGGGAAACTATCAATGCCCCCACGTTCCAGGACCAGAACGGTCGGATGGAACTAACATGGCTTCACAAGCATTTTCCTGATAGGGACCTCGGAAGAGCCGTCCGACCCGCTTCCATTCGATGGCTGCTTGATACACTATATTGTTATTGCTTCAATGCAACTCTGCGTATGAGCCAATGGCCGCAAATACGCTTCGTTTTATGAGACATGATCTCATGCCTTATGTCGAAACATCCGGGAAACATGACGGCGAGTCCTGATTGACTTGCGAAATGTCGCATATCAACTGTACTCACCGGGCGCAGAACAGGGATTGTCATCCCTGCGCATCAATTGAGACGACGCAGCATTTCAACCCCTCGATGAGTCCATGGATTGAGGTGTTATCGGCACATATTAGGGTTAATTGATGTTATTATGTCGTGAGCACAGCATTGCGTTAAGCGTAGCAAGCTCTGGTTGGTTCTTCCGTATATTGAGGCTGGCTGCCAAATACGAGTCTTCCGGGGTTCTCTCGAGATCAAGCGTCCCCCGACTGAGTCCAGACACTGTCACGTTGTTCACTTATGCTTACCTTGATGAATCGAGCTGAAGTATGCTCAAGCGACAGGCCCGTCTTTCAACCAATTCGGGCAATCGATGGTGGTTGGCATAGAACGCCACGGCTGCACTACATGCTTCGAGTTGCTCGTGACACACTGGGGATAGGATGTCACAACGGGATAGAAAGCCTCTCCAGTTGTCCACCTGACTTGCATCTACCACGGCTCGTCCCTCAAAATTAGGCATAGCCAGGTGCCAGCGCAGAGGTGTGCTAGGTTCGTGCTTTTGTCGAGCTCATATCTGCGATGCACTATGGGCTTTTTAGACATGCATCTCCGCGTAGAGTCATCAGCTATGCTCGTATGGCAGCGTAACGAATGGTACTTGCGAACTGGGGTATGAAGGATCAATTATTTTTGTGATAGGTATGAAACAACAGGTGAAGTTAAGGTGAAGACCAAACAGTCCGAATGGATCGCGATCACATGATCGCGTGGAGCAGGCAGACCAGCGATAAACAATTTTCTAGTTATCGGCTTTATCCTGAAGGGGGCAAGTGTTGACAATCAGATCGGCTACACCACCAACAACTACTACTACTACTCAATTGACAAGTCACGATCACAGAGATACTCGCGCCTCGAGGATCTGACTACATGTCTGACAGGGATTCCCAAAATGACCTGCAAGACAAGGTCTTTGTCTTGGTAACCGGTGCCAACAGGTATTGTACATTTCTCCGCATCCCCTCCCCAGGGGGTAAATTTGCAGTCGCATACCCATAATTCATCGTTTCCTAACGTGTTGTTCCTCCCCTTGGTTGCAATTCTCTCATTACAGTGGCCTTGGTTTCTCAATCTGCTGTCGACTGGTGGATGAATTTTTGAAATCTCACCGACATCCCCGCCAGTCTCTGACCGTTATTTTCACCACGCGGAGCACCAAGAAGGGAAATGACACTCTCGTTCGCCTACATGATCACCTTCGCGGCGCCTCTGCCTCTGTCTCTGCTTCCGCCGAAGCATCAGCGCAAGTCACCTTTGTGCCCGAGAACGTCGACCTGTCGAACCTCGTCTCGGTCCGCGCCCTGTCCCGTCGACTGAACCAGACCCTCCCCAAACTCGATGCGATCGTGCTGAACGCCGGCCTGGGCGGATGGACGGGCATCAACTGGCCCAAGGCAATCTGGGGTGTCATGACAGACCTGGTGCACGAAGTCTCCTGGCCATCGTTCAAGATCGCGCCCGCGGGAATGGTGACGGACCCCCAGACCGCACTGGGCGACGACAAGGAACCGCGTCTCGGCGCGGTCTTCTGCGCGAACGTCTTCGGCCACTACATGCTAGCACACAACGTCATGCCGCTGCTGCGACACCCTGATCAGCTCCATGGGCCCGGCCGCGTCATCTGGGTCTCCAGTCTCGAGGCGACCGTGAAGTACCTCGACGTCGACGACATACAGGGCCTGACCACTCTGGCCCCCTACGAGTCCTCAAAGGCTTTGACCGACATCCTGGCTCTGACCGCGGACCTCCCCAGCTCAGCACCCTGGGTTAAGAGCTTCTACTCGGTCAACGAGCAACCAGAACCCCAAAAAGAAACAGAACAGGAACCCCCGCACCCAAACATGTTCCTCACCCACCCCGGCATCTGCGGCACAGGCATCCTCCCGCTCTCCTGGCCCCTCTTCTACTCCATGCTCGCGGCATTCTGGCTAGCCCGCCTCCTCGGATCCCCCTGGCACACGATCTCCACCTACGCCGGCGCCTGTGCCCCCGTCTGGCTCGCCCTGTCCGCTCAGGCCGTCCTCGATGACGCCGAAGCGCCGTACCGGCGCAACGGCGGCGGGAGAGTGAAATGGGGCTCCTCGTGTAACCGTCTCGGTCAGGACCGGCCGGTGTGCACTGAAGTCGATGGATGGGGGTACGGTGGCGTGGTTGGGCCGGCCGTCCTCGACGGTGACCGGTGCCGTCGCCGGAAGAGGGGCGCGGTGGATGTCACTGCGGAAGAGAAACTGCAGTATGAAGATCTGGGTAGGGAATGCTGGCAGCGCATGGAGGAATTGCGGATTCAGTGGGACAAGCTTCTTGACGAGGCTGAGGCCCAGGTTGAATCCAAGGCATGACCAGCGTTAACCCTATACCATAGCCCTCCTCTTCCTCTTCCTCGCATCCTGTACTTTCCCGGGTTTATAACTTGCTTAATGTGTAATTGTACATCACCGTCTCTCAGCGTGATTATTCTGAGACTTGTCGAGTGTCGTCGATTAGGGCCTTATTCTGTATCCAAAATAATAATGCAGACTTGGACATGCTTCGGAACAATTATCACCTTCATATCTGCCTTCACTATTTACATTCCAAGAAACCCCTTGTCCACGTTTATCATTAAATCAGGCGTAGTATTATTCCTTTTTGCCCACCACCCGCGAAGAAGCACAAGCGGAGCACGCAAGAGAACAGATAGCAAATAATCCACAAGAAGAGAAACACAACAAGAGACAGCTTCGAGCTGGACGAACCGGGAAGATTATATCATCGAACGCGGCTGTTTTCCAAGGAAGACAGGTTGGCAGAAACCGACGAGTATGAAAGTCGGGAGAGGGAAAAGATGACTAAAAAGCTCTAGCGGAGACAAAAAAGAAGATGCCGACGCAGAGACGCTCCTTCACCGTCAAGGCTATGGGAGTGCTGAGCTACGGGGTAGGAAGCGAAAGAAGACGTAAAGGTTACTGCACTGTCTGTGCCTGGTGCGAGAAAATCCGAGTGGAGAAGAGGCGTAAAGTATTGTACCCAAAGACTTGCACCAGACTCAGCCGACCGATGGACCAAGCTTCAGCCACGCTGGAATAGAATCGAAGAAAATGACAACCACAACAACGACTCCGGTTATATGCATCTGGGTGATCGCGAGGTAGGTAGAATCAATGAAGATCGAGGTAATTAGGACATGTCGGCATTAGAAGGAGGAAATCACATGATAATGGCGGGAACTGTGTAATGCGTTAGTTTCTCGCAATCCGTAACGTTCGTAAAACGCGAGTGAAGGAAACATACCATCGATGTTCTGCTTGATGCTCTTGTGCGGCAGAATCGAGCCGCCATTGACGTACACCTCGTCTGCAATGGTGACATCGTCACCCAAGACCGTGACATTCTCCAATCGAGCCCACTTGCCAACAGAGCTGTTCCAGCCGACAATAGCCGACTTGACCCAGGCGTGGTCCTTGACCTTGCTGTTCTCCAGGAGCACACAGCGTTGCAGACGCACGCCATCGCCGACCACAACGTTGGGACCAATGACTACATTGGGGCCAATGCGACAGTTCTTGCCAATCTTGGCCGAGGGGTCAACCATGACATTACCGCCATAGACGTAGGGTTCGCTGTTGGGAGCCAGCAGCTTGGAGTTACGCTTCGCGAGGGAAGTGAGGTAGAGGCAGGTGCCAGTCAGGAAATCTTTGGGCTGACCGACGTCCATCCAGAAACCCTCGAGATCAAAGGAGTGGAGCTGACCGTCACTGCAGATGGCAGGGAATGTCTCCTGTTCGATGGAGGTGGGACGCAGCTCAATGCGCTTGAGAACACTGGGGTTGAGGATGTAGATACCGGCGTTAATGCGGTTACCGACGAACTCGACTGGCTTCTCGACGAAACGATCAATGCGAGAGGGGTGGTTGGGCTTGTGAACAACGACACCGTACTTCGAGGGCTCGTCGACCTTGGTAACAACGATGGTGCCCTCATCGCCATGTTTCTTGTGGAACTCTGCGAGCTGCTTGAAGGGAAAATCACAGATGATATCGGAGTTGAGGACAAAGAAGGGAGAGTCGTCCTTGCCCAAAATTTTCTCTGCCAGCTTCAGGGGACCAGCGGTACCGAGGGGTTCGGACTCGACGGAGAACTCGATTCTGACGTTGTATTGTTCCTCATACTGCAGACGGAAAATCACAGATTAGCCACAGGAACATACCAAGCTAACGGAAGAGAAGAGATCGGTGTACCTTCTTGAGGGCCGCGACCATGACATCCGGGCGGTAGTTGACGGCCAGAACAATATCTGTGACACCAGCAGCAGCCAAGCTCTCGACCTGGTGCAGGATCATCGGGCGGTTTCCAAATTCCACCAGGGGTTTGGGAAGGGTCAGAGTCTAGCATTGAAACACAGGTATGTTAGCATCAATTCGAAGTATTAGACAGACACAAGCTTCAACTGCGGGGGAGAGACACTCACCAAAGGGCGCAGACGGGTACCGAACCCTCCGACAAGAATGAGAGCTACAATCAAAAGGTTAATCTGAATGAACGCATTGACACTTGGTTGCACATGGAGAAATCCGTACCCTTCATGATGATGATTGACTAGATAACGTAAGGAAGATAGGTCAAAAGAAAGAGTTATTAGAAGCTGGTAGAGGTATATGTTTTGGCTTTGCGACGAGTGTCAGGAGAGGACGAGGGGCTGTGGAGAGAAAAGAGGAAAAGGGAAAAAGGAGGCCCCGCGGACAACGAATGTCAAGAAGCAAACGTCGACGACAATTAAGAACCGATTCAATGCGGGTTCTTGAAATTGCAAGATGGATCAAAAAGATAGAAGATCTGTAGATAGAGAAAGGAAATAATACTATTATAGAAAAGGGTCGAGAAGCAGAAGCTCGAAGTCACAGGAACGAACACCTGGCGTTGTTTCTTCCTTAATAACCTAAATAACAAATGAGGATAGCATAACATGATTTTCCCAATTATGAGCAGGGGCACTACCACTAAAGCAGAACTGCGTACGACGACAGGTCCCAATGGCTGGCCAGTCTAGGTACCTATGGGACCACACTAAGAATGGGTTATGGAACAGTAAGGTACACTTGCTCCGTACTTTGACCCGCTAATTGGCGATTCCACCTGAATCAGTCGATGCCACTTACCTTGAACAGCTGGTACGAACAGGGCGGACAGTTGCACGTTTTCAGCCAGAACGCCATGGGCAGCCTGTAGCAAATCATGTACTCTATCCGTACTCTGTAGATATATCTCATCTTAGGATTGGCAAGTTTAAAGGGGGAAATAATCTTAGGAAAGGCCCAGAACCACTACTGGATCAGGTGCTAGGTGGAGCAACCCCATTCGTTGCCCCTTGATATTATTTGGTTATATTAATAGGATTATTTCCTGCATATCCAGGACTCAAATGGCTGTTCCATAAGGTTGAATAACAATGAATGTTAATAACTGAATATACTGAGTAGCTACTGTGTGACCCTGAACTGAATCTATATGAGATTTTCATTTTATCGCATTTGCGTGTCTGGATCTACAGTGTGGATTAGGAACTGAACTGCGATGATTGGGGTAGCCGCATCGGGCAAGACACCTGGGGAATATGACACCCCTGAACAATCTTCGCTGATGCGCTTGGGTTACATGCGAATCCTTCCTTCATTTCAAACTCTTTTCAGGTTCTGGGGGATCTTCCTAACTCGATACCACCCTCAATCGATCATCTGCCATGCCTCGTATCAGACTGTTAAATGTTTGTATACCCCTGTTAGGCATAGCTAAGGTATATATATCGTTATTGAGCGTTGAGTTGACTACCTGTGGTCAACCTTGGTGCTAGAATCTCTCTCGTCGACTTTGCATTATTCACACTTCAGATCTTGCAGTCCTTCAGCTTCATCAATAATTGACAATTTACTCCTGCGTGTCTGGAGGCAAAGGCTGGCCATGTTTCCTTGAAGTACGCGGCCCACCGCCTACTAAATCCGGTGCACGGTCCACAAACAGACGGATCCACTCCCGCACTTTGCACACCTTCATCAGTAATCGCAGATCGCCATGCTTGGTTTCATCATCTTTGAAGGTTTGCAGGCGCCTTGTACTGTAGATGCCTCCTGCGTCCGTTGCGTCAATCCGCTGGCGGTGCAGCAAGTCGACTGTCGTTACCCCTCTGCCCACACTCTGCCCATATACCCGTTCTCGGAATGAGCTCAATCCTACCATGCGCAGGAGAACAATGTCTCGAGGTCGGAGACTAGACAATGACGTTCGAAGCTTCTGAGCCTCGATGTCACACCGGCCAGTGGCATTTGTTTTGTCTCCCAGAGGCAGCCAGAAGGTAACTCCGAATCCTGTTCTTGTCTCGTCGCCCACCACCACTTCCACGAGGTCCAGCTCCCTTTTCCACTGCCGAGTAACTATGCGGCGTGGAGGATGAATTGCGATGATACCCACAATCAGGTTTACTGTCATCGTCTGAGGCACAATCGATTGTAGATATGTGGCGCTGGGGATATCCTTCAGGTCACTGAGACACCCTTGAATTGCTAGAGAACCCACTTCTGGCGCTTCTCTGTCACTGGACGACGTGACGGATGTTCCTGTACTATCCGTCGATAAGCCACTCTCCTGCATAGAGTCTCCCAGATGCGCTCCAGGTAAAGAGATCTCGGACGTCTCGTGTACCGCAAAGGAATGGTCGTAGAACTGAGAGATTGCCGAGTCATCTGGTGAAATTGATGATACGCCATTTAGGGGCGTGAGATCTTGGGTTCTCAAAAATATAGCATGCCTGCCTGGTTCGGAGCAAGCGTTTTCTCGTTCTTGCTCTTGAACTTTCGGATCCTGTAACAACCTCCATTTAACAGTATGGGATTCTGAAACAGGCTGATTCACTTGGTCTTCAACATTTGGACCAGAGAATGGAAATATAGGGTTGTCGAGCAACCCATCCTCATCCCAGCAGAGGCTCTGCGGTGTGGGAGCACCCATGAGGAAAATGAGCTTTGTCGACATTGCTGGTAGGGCTCATGTGAGAGAAGCGCCTACAAACAGATAGTCAACAACCATGGCTCTCACACACTATATATATATATATAAAATCCGTGTGAAATGGCTTGTAGGGATCTGGTGCTATGGCTTCGAGCCTAGTTCCCTAGGACGAATAGTATGATATGTCCAGGAACGATGATCCATCACTGGCACAGGAGGAAAGGCAACAATAACGGTATGTCGAAGTCTGACAGATCAGAACCACGGATCGCAGATCGACCTACTTAGGTTGTACAAGGCTCTACGTATGGTTTGATTGCCGACTAAATCAACCTCTTAGACTACTCGGACAAGAGCGTCAATAATAATAATGTGGGTCAGAAAACAAGCTACCTACCATACTACCCAGTTTACTGCCATTATTGCCTTTGGAAACGAAGAAGCACGAGGGAAGCTGGAATTAAGGAAAGGCAGATATTGTTCTGCCTGAGGCTCATATTCACGTGACAACCCAACTACGGTCGTCCGTTCAGGCCGCAGTGGCAATATCCATACGAATTTCGCCGCCGCATCCTTGGCGGATTGTCTGCCGGAGAACGAACTACTCGTCATTCCTCATCTTTGCTCGCATTCGCCATCGTTTGAATCTCGTTGGCGATGGCAGTCATCCCGATCAAAGAATAAGCTATTATAATATATTGTCTTCATACCTGCCACTCTTTGCGTGGTCGACATTGATTGCTGCGGCCTAGTGCCGCTCTGACTCGAGACAACTATGGCTTTCCAAGTCCCGGTCTCAAGACCTGTAAGGGTCCTTACAATTCCTACGCCTCTTATGCCGTCTATTCTGACTTTCCCCTCTTCACAGAATCTTGCGGCCGTCACTTCCGATCTCTGGCCATCGATGTCAAAGCTATTAAATGCGCCTTGGACTAGCATCCAACGCACGGCCACCTCCGCATCTCCTACAACCCGACGACTGCACCAGCGGACGCTTGGGGGAAACGAATCAAGTGTATGGTTCTATTGCGATCATAAGTCTTTCCTCAGTGCTATATTGACAATAAACTAGGTAACTGGCCGGATTCCGCTACCTGAGTGCCTGGACACAGTCCCCCTTGAGGCTTTGAACTCGAACGTCATGCAGCGACCTGTCCAACTTGGGTTGTCGCGGACTTCTCTAAGAGGTAGGCTCATTTTATCGACTTCCATGCATATCGGAATACTTAATTTTGCCATTAAAGATTCGCTCTGGAGTTCCGCGACTGTATCCCGCCGTCGTATTGTGTCTCATTCCGCTCGATCGTATTCGACACTATCCGCCACCCTAGGCCGGACTCGCCAGGCTCCGAAAGCCAACGGCCTTTCGAACCTACAACAGCAGCGGTTTATGTTTGGAGGCCCATCTCACGGTCTGTTAGCGCACCAGGAAAAGACCGCGAACAACAACCCAAGGAGTGCCCACGCACAGAATGCTTTCTATCAGACTCTGCTCCGTGCGAACATGCCCGCTGTTATTGTCGAACGATACCGCAGCGGTCAATTTGCGAGTAATCCACTGTCTGAAGCTATTTATCTGAAAGCGTTGCAGCGTGTCGGTGGCGCCGATTCCGCAGCGGCGGCACCCATCCAAGGTCAGAACCAGCATCTGAACCCCGACCAGCTGCAGGCTATCGGTCAAGCCGTCGCCGCTCGGAATCACGGTAGTCAGATCGGACTGGCGACAAAGCAATCCGGTACTGGGGCTAAGGATAATCCTCTGCATGTGGTTGTCGAAGAGTCGCTGGGCAGCGCTGTCTTTCGATGGGTCAAATTTCTGCTCGTTTTCGGCTTCTTCACTTACATCTCTCTTGTCGTGATTACCATTCTTGTCGAAACTACCGGCGTCTTAAAGAATATCAAGGGTCCGCAGAGCAATGAGGCTCAACCCCAACAGCAAACGGTTCGGTTCTCCGATGTACACGGTTGCGACGAGGCCAAGGAAGAGCTCCAGGAACTTGTCGAATTCTTGTTGAATCCGGAGCGATTCTCTTCCCTCGGTGGCAAATTGCCAAAGGGTGTGCTTCTTGTGGGACCTCCTGGTACGGGAAAGACTTTGCTTGCCCGTGCCGTCGCCGGAGAAGCTGGTGTTCCCTTCTTCTACATGTCTGGTTCCGAATTCGATGAGGTGTATGTGGGTGTCGGCGCCAAGCGTGTCCGTGAGCTCTTTGCACAAGCCCGGAGCAAGTCGCCCGCCATCATCTTCATTGACGAATTGGACGCCATTGGTGCTAAGCGGAATGAGAGAGATGCAGCTTATGTGAAGCAGACCCTGAACCAGCTGCTTACGGAGCTCGACGGATTCTCGCAGACCACTGGAGTCATCATCATCGCCGCAACCAATTTTCCCCAGCTGCTTGACAAGGCTTTGACACGACCTGGCAGATTCGATCGCAAGGTGGTCGTCGATCTTCCGGATGTTCGGGGTCGGATGGACATATTGAAGCATCACCTGAAGAACATTCAAATCAGCACAGAGGTCGACGTTGCAGTGCTTGCGCGTGGTACTCCTGGCTTCTCTGGTGCCGATCTGGAGAATCTGGTCAACCAGGCCGCCATTTACGCTAGCAGAAACAAGAAGCCCAAGGTTGGACCCAAGGACCTCGACTGGGCCAAGGACAAGATTATGATGGGCGCAGAGGCTCGCAGCAGGATCATTCAGGATAAGGACAAGCTTTTGACTGCCTACCATGAGGCAGGCCATGCTCTCGTTGCTTATTTCTCTCCTTCGTCTACGCCATTGTACAAAATTACCATTGTTCCCCGCGGAATGGCGCTGGGAGTGACGCACTTCCTGCCTGAGATGGACATGGTTTCCCGGAATTACACCGAGTATCTGTCCGATATCGACGTCTCCATGGGCGGAAAAGCAGCGGAGGAGCTGGTTTTCGGTCCTGACAAGGTCACAAGTGGTATTTCGGCGGTAAGTTCTGTCTTTCAAATTCCGAAAGTCTGTTCACGATCACTAATGTTCTGCAGGATATCCAACAAGCCACTGAAACCGCGTTCACATTGATCACTCGATTCGGTTACTCGAAGAAACTTGGCAACGTCGATCTGTCGACCAACTATGATAGTCTATCATCTGAAACCAAACAAGAAATCGAATCCGAAGTGCGACGACTGGTCGAGGAAGCGCGGATGCGTGCCACCAAGATTCTGACCGAACGGAGACACGAACTGGAACTTCTGTCCAAGGCACTGATCGAGTACGAGACGCTGACGAAAGAGGAGATGGAGAAGGTCCTGAGAGGCGAGAAACTGGACAAGATGGAGTCCGTACCGTCGGCTCCGCTCAAGCTGCCCGAGGCTCTGCAGACCGCAAAATTGAATCATCCATCCACCCAGGCCGAGGAACCGTCGACCGCAGCCAAATAATAGGTTTCTTCCTCACATATCCCTTCCATCACCCACCTCCTCTCTGCCGAAAATCAGGCGCCGCGTTTTTGACGGACTCCTTTGTTATCCGTATTTCGATTCCTATTTTCCATATGGTTTTCTTTCTTCGTTCCTCGGTCGCGTTTCTGACTTCATGGTGCTTCGCGTCTTTCGATATGAAGTCTCAAAACAGCAGTTGTTGCATATGAGGTGGGGCATATCGGTTTAAGAATGAGCGATCAATGTACTGTATTGCATAAACATACTTATAACATATTCATCCGATATCAATGAAGTTGTAAAAGTTGGGATTTTGCACAAGTGCTTATAAGGAGGGCATCTTGTAATTATATTATTCAAGCAGCTTCTGTAAAAGGCTACACTACAACCAAGACACTGAAACGATGCTGCGGAAATTCCGTTTGATTGATATGTATACAGAGTTATCCGTAGAAATACGGTTTATATAGGTGTAGTGTAGGAGTATATACTGATGATAGCGGGTATCCAAGAAGAGACCTAGACCTCCACCCTAGAAATGGACCTACTGACCACCCGAGACCAAGAGAAAGATGCCAAAATGCCATTACCCCAAGAAGCTGAAAACGGAACGCTCAATCGCAAGCACATTGCACACAATCATCACAAGATATATATGTAGGAAGACATGTCGTTACTCTTGGCCCTCGGACTCGATCTCGCTCGTGTCCAGCCAGCCGCGCGACATCTCGACGGCCTTGGACCACTGCTTGTACATCCGTGCGCTCTGCGCGGGCGAGATGCGGGGTGTGAAGGTGGTGCGGTTGGCGCGGTTCATGTTCTTGAGCTCACTGAATTCTTTCCAGACATCGATGGCGAACCCGGCGGCAATGGCGGCGCCCAGCGCGGTGGTTTCGTGCATGGCGGGACGCTCGACGGGGATTTGGATGATGTCGGCTTGTGTCTATACGAGTAAAGGAATGTCAGTTTCACTGGTATCGTGATGCGGAAGCTTTCTTTTCTTTCAGAGACGTACCTGCATGCAAATGTCGGAATTACTCATTCCGCCGTCCACGGCCAATTCCGACAATTTGTGTCCACTATCCCTTGCCATGGCATCGAGAATGGCCTTCGTCTGGAAGCAGGCTGCTTCCATGGTCGCGCGGGCAATATGTCCGCGCTGCGTGTGTTGCGTGATACCAACTTCGTAGAAGGTTAGCAATTCGACTCCGTTCAAGGGTACAATGCGTTCAGAAAACTTACAGATGGTGCCCTTGGCATCATCAATCCAGTAGGGAGCAAACAGACCACTGAAGGCAGTGACAAAAACGCAACCTCCGCTGTCGGGAACAGTGGCAGCAAGATCACTGACTTTGCGCGAATCACGGAAGAATCCGAGGTTGTTCATGAGGAAGGAGATACCACTTCCGGCAACGGCAACACTTCCTTCAAGGGCATACACCGGCTTTCGATCTTTACCCAACTGGAAGCCAACAGTGGCAAGCAAGCCGTGTTTCGAAATGACGGGTTTCTCACCGACGTTGTAGAGCAGGAAGCAACCGGTGCCATATGTGTTCTTCGCTGTACCCGGTGTAAAGGCGCAGTGACCGACCAAAGCTGCGGACTGATCGCCCAAGCAACTGGTGATCGGTACCCCATCGAGAGGTCCAAACCGGACGTATCCATAGCCCTCAGGGTCTGACGAGGGGAGAATCTTGGGGAGCCTGATCTTCTTCCTGTCGATACCAAAGAACTTGAGCAGTTTATCATCATATTGCAGGGTTTCGAGATTCATGAACATCGTTCTGGATGCGTTGGTAACATCGGTGACATGACGACCAGCTTCGGGCCCGCCGTTGAGGTTGTACAGAAGCCACGAGTCAACAGTTCCAAAAGCAAGTCGCCCTTCGTCATAAGCCTGCTTAACTTTGGGGCTATGGCGAAGAAGCCATACTAGTGAGACAGAAGAAGGGTATGTGGAGAGAGGTAGACCGCAGATAGCCGGCAGCTCATCCGCCCCCTCTTGCCCTTTGAGCTCTCGAACCAGATTCTTGGTTCTGGTATCAGGCCATGCGATCGCGTTGTGTAACGGTTCGCCAGTTTCCCAATCCCAGCAAAGTGTTGTCTCTCGTTGACTGGTAATCCCAATGGCTTCAATATCTGATTTGCTGTGGCCTAAAGCCAGGAAAGTCTTCATCGCTTCTTCAATGCATGTGTAAACGGAATCCACCAGTTCGAGGGGATCATGTTCGTGCCATCTAAAGGAGGGGACAAGGTAATGGTTAATTACAATCCACGAAGCAGCGAAAACCGCACTGGAGCGGCCGACTAGCAATATACCTAGCCACAAGGAGAGAATTGAACTTACCCTGAATGCTCGTGGATCTGGCGGAATTCAGTCTGATACTTGGCCACAGGAACACCTGTGCAATCGAAGATGATAAATCGTGAACTCGTAGTACCCTGATCGATGGCACCAATGAAGCGGTCTTTCAGGTTGTCGCCTCGGCGATTTTCATTTTGCAGTAGCGAGCGGTTGCCGTCATGCGATTGATAGGCGGAAATATCAATATGCGCTTGTTGCTCTTCGACGGCATTATCAAGCTCGGTCAGATCGAAAGGGTTCCTCATTGTGTCGCTTGCAGTGGGTTGATGTTATATATAGAGTGTGTGAGAAAAGACGTATATAAATCTGTCGTCTTCTTCCTTTCCTGAAATGGCCAGTGGAAAGGTAATGGCAAGCAAGATTGAGGAGATTGGGGATTGGTGCAGTAGTAAGGTAGTAGTAGTAGTGGTGGTAGTAGGAACGGGACTGGTGGGAAAATTTACAGTCCCTAATCTGGTCTAACTCCAATCTATAAGACAGCGAAGAGGATGGAAGATAGGAACAGACGGAGAGAGAGTAGCCGGGAGACGCAAAAAGGGTCGATCTCAGTCTACAAATGAGGAGAGGTGGCGGTGCGTGGTACGCGGGGCAAAAGACGCTCTTCTTGGTCGACTTTTGAATAAGAGCAGAAGTCAAGACTGGGTTTGGTGACGTATAGCTGACTGTCGGGGCGGGGAGGGGATGAGGAGGAGGGGTGACGGTGGTTGAAGATCGGAGGATAAGTTATTCGGGTGGAGCGCTGAATAAGGCAGAAGAGGATCTTAAGAGGATGCCGTTTCCTGTTGTGTACCTCTTTACCTCTCGGTAGGCGCTGTGAATTATGATGATGGTGATGATGTCGGAATATTAAGATATTATGGAGAGCCAGTTGGAGGATCCGGTTTGACTGGGCGAGAGACAGGACCGGGACAAGAAAACGATGAGGTCACCGGTTGGGTAATTGAGTGTGGTTTATTCGGCGGAGATGTGGGGTGGAGGAGTTCAGATTAGAGAGGTGATGATTAGTAGTACTTTATTAGGGGTAGAAGGAAGAGACAGAAGAGGCGATGATAAGAAGAAGAAAAAGGAAGAGATCAATCAATTGTTTCATGAACTCACATCAGGACGTGGGAGACTCTTTATCCAAGAGGGTGGATCTAAGGAAGAATTAAATTTATTTTTCTACAAGCCCGTGCTTTACCTTCAGGCTTACAGGAAGAGGACTAGATCAGGTACCATACAGAAGTAGAACAATCTGTAAGTTTTCTCCGTAGGGACTCCCCCGGCTTCAGGATAAAAGGCAGAAGAAAGTCCCTCCATTCATCCATGGCGGAGAAGTGGGTGCGTGGGGGACAAATCCTACTCTTTGCCTCTTGTTAACTTGAATCTGTTTAAGCTAGTGGTTTTTTTTTCTGATCAGACGACCATTTGACTTCGTCAGCGTTGACATATCTCCTTTCCTAGGGCTCCAGTCCAGTACCTGTACCTACTGATTGCTACTATCCCCTTACTTCGTCCCAATCCTATCTTGTCCGCGTTTATCTCTGTTTTCCTCTAAACTCTTTGTCCTTAGTTTCTAGCTTATTTCCTACCTCTCTAGATGCTGTTTTCCTGGGTGTGGTTACAGACCTTCAGAGGCTCCAGGTCAGAATCGGCAAGGTACCCGAAATCCGATATGGAACTCTAGACCTTCTGGACGCATTTCTGAACCAGCGAGATACCCCATCAAAGCCGCTAAGAATAGTTTCGGACTTGCACATGACACCGATCCAGACCCATCGTCTTGTAGTAAATTCCATAGACTTCTTTCCTATGATCACCACTATTATCCTGCCTGCCCCAAAAATCATATATCATCGAGCAACTGCTCAAGCGGTCAAGCCAGGAATTCTAGTTTAGTAAATAAGCTCATTTACAAACTCAATTCATTCAGAGTCGGAGGGGAAGGAGGTACATCTTTAAGCCGAGAGCCCATTGAACTTTTCCAGCCCGATGAATGCGACTACGTACCTTAGCTGGGACTGCAGCCACATGCAGATCCAGACACGGAGTTCTGGAACTCATCCCTTTACTACCAGTCTACCTTACTCCAAAGATGACTATAAAACCTGCACAGAGAACAGAAGGGGACCCTCCCGTTCGCGTACTCCGCTGTCATCCTCTGGATAAATAATTTGTCGATCAAGCACATGTGCCACATGACAATGTCCAATTTTCTTCTCGTCCGAATGTACCTAGTAGTCTACTATGATACCCATGATCTAGACCCCCAATTCAATTAATAATTCCTTGCTACTTGGTCTGTGAATTTACGTACCCAGTATAGTATAGCATCCCCCTATTGGACATGCCCTTTATTCCGTACATCGGCATTTATCCCCTGTTGTAGAGTCCATCTAGATTGCTTCCGGACAGAGAAGATCCAAATAAGCTTGGGAGATATCCCGGGCGGCGAAGGGTCTAGGAACGTTGGCAGGCTGGCAGCTACGTCCAGCGCTCTGATTTATGGAGAAATTTTTGTCAATTCCGGATACTCGGTTCGGCTACTTTAGTCTTGGTCTACCTCTGGAAGCCGGAAGATTTGTGTTGAACACAGAGCAACTGTACTACGATGCTCAGGCATCAAGATATCTAGATATACATTTAATTAAGCCATAAATATGGTGATAATGATATCGTTGATTAATGCCCCTCATCTACAGTATTACGTTGATCAGAATGTTTACGGTACTACCAGTAGAAGTGTAGTTATGGCCCAGATAGTGGGCGGATTGTGACGTCTTCGACCAGACTTAACCTGCTTACTCCGACTTCTCTTTCTCCCCTTTTGCCTCTTCGAATCGTTATTCTACACCCAATGCCAAGAAACGGCCTGTTCCACCTTGGATAATTGCGCAAACAACATTGACTATTGACACTGCAAGGGTAGATCGTCCAGTCCATCATGAATAGCCTTGTGATGCTCAAGTCAACAGGGTGCTAGACCAACTTTAAACAAGAAACAGACAAAGAAAAGAAAAGAAAAGGAAAAAGAAAAAGAATGCGGCGCTGGCACTGTACAACATAGCAGCAGATGCACAGTTCGGCCTAGTTGGCCAAAACGGACGATAGTATGGGACCTACAGGCAGTCAGGCACTCACGGGACGGAATCGTTGTTCTCTCTTAAGCAGGCCGAGTCCGACATACCTTCCGCACTTAGCTTTGGACTTTGGGGGCCAACCTTGCCAAGGTAGAATCATTGACTCTTACGCCCCTCACAGGAAGTACGAACTAAACTATCGTCTTGCCCCGAGGCTTTCATAGTACTCCCGTACTCCGTACGCAGTACTCGAGAAAAGTTGTCCCTTCTGACCTTACAAGGCCGTTGTTTCCTGCAATTGCAACCGCAACTCGTCATCGAGCTTTTCCGACTGATCACGCAATATGTCTTTAGTTTTTCGAATCATTCTACCCTAGGTAGTCTCTACCTACCTTTGATCCTATCTCTTCTGGTAAGGTAATTATGCTCTGTAGCGTTAGATTTAATTGGACCAATCAAAGAGAAGTTTTGAATTTCTCTAGACTAACCGTCTTGACGCTACTCCGTACCCCTCTTCAGCTTAATCCAGCAATTTTCGAGAACCCACCGAATAAGTCTAACCTGTTCATATACAGTCCAATAGAAATTCAAACAAAAGAAAGTACCAGCGTCCGCCAGGTCATTGAATTCGCATGTAATCTACAGAAACTCGATCAAAACGATGCGACGTCTTTCCCACTGTCACATTGAGCTGCCACAGGCAGCCCGGGATATCACCCAACCCCTCAATAGGTCATATCATGTGCTATGAGCATCTCAAAATGCACAGAGTATCACCTGTATCCCGCAAGTCTGTCATTTACTCAGACTCCTCCTCGCCGAGCTCGGCGCGGCGGCGAGCATTAGCCTCTTCCTTCTCCTTCTTCTGCAGGAAGAGCAGCGCGTTGATCTTGTCGGTGATCGTGTGCTCAGTGCTGATGGTGTTGGCGATCTGCTCACGGCCGATCAAGCTGGCCACGATGCTGGCTCCGACAACGAAGGTCAGGACAAAGCGGTACATGCCATACCAGTGGGGAGCACGGCCGTGGGCAGCAGCGCGGGCGTCATTGTAGTACAGGAAGGTGAAGGCGAGGAACTGGCTGATCAAGGCGTATTCGACGGGAAGTAGCAGGGTGGGCCAGGCAACAGCGGGGGCGATGACACCGGCAGCGTAGCGCCTGTAACCGTGCTTGCCACCGTATCCGGCCCATTCAAGACCCCAGTGAACAGCTCCAAGGAAGGAGAGGATCTTGAGGGTCGCTTCGCGTCAGATAGGGAGCTTGACAGCAGGATAAATTCAAACTCACCACAGCACCATAGCCGACCTGGATAGGCTCGAGCATGTGAAGCATCAGCTCGGCAGTCTGGCCGGAGAAAATGAGGCCATCACCGGTGGCGGTAGCACGGTTGATCTCGTAGGAAAGGTAGACAGTCTCGAGGGAAGTAGCGAGGTAGGGGATGACACCAGCCATTCCGAGGTAGAGAGCCTCCTTGGGGGTTCCCTCAAGGCTGAAAGTGTCCTTGATGACTTTCTGAAGGTCGTCAAACGCCACGGTTTAGTGATATATCCCATACATAACATAGGTACGGCAGGCTCCCGTCATGAATGCCGGCCGGACGTATCGAACTTACCGCTTCGGTCTTGATACCCGCCATCATGTCATGGTCCTCCTCGGCAACCTTGGCTTCCTGCAAACAAACATCAGCAATTGACCAGAACTCTCAACATGAGCGGCACTGACCTTGGGGACGTTGGTAGAGCCCGGGACGCTGGAGGCATAGCGGACAAGCGCAGTGGTGACGGGCTTGCGGGTAGTCAGGGCCAAGCTGGATGCGCGAGCGGGAAAACGAGCGGAGGATGTCAGGTGAGCCTTGAACACATTGTTGGAGAAAGTCGAGCGGGCGACCGAAGCATTGGAGCTAGAAATAGCCCTGAGCACAGAGCGGGCAACCGAGTTTCTGTAGAGCATGGTGGACTGGGGTAGCTAATTTTTTCCGATGTTTGGTTAGTGATGAGGTCTGGAAAGCTCGGATAGCCGGGATATAGCCGGCAGAGGACCCAATTGAGGCTGGAAAGTGCTACAAAATGGCTCTAAAGATAGAGGCAAGGCTGTTTACCTGATGCTTTACCGAGCTGAACTCGTAAGAGTGGAGATTTTGTGGTCGTGGAAGCAATCAATCCTGAGGACCGGGAATGAAGTGATACAATGATGAGGTGTGGTAACCTCTGGCTTCGGCAGACCATACAGACCAATCCCGTAACTGTTATTAGGAATTATTGCCTCAGGCATGAATCGTTCAGTGACCTCCGGATCAAAATAGACGCCATAACGGGATGACCCGACGTCACGTGGCTGAGTCAGCGCAGCTAGAGGGTTGCAGCCCTAGGCATCTAACTAGATGCAGTCAGAACGGAGTCTCCAGGAAAAGGACCGACGTCACTCCTCGCAAGGTTGCCCGCTCGAGATCCGCCGCGTCACGGCTGTTCAACGGCAACCACTACTGCTGGTACACAAACCCCCCTAATCAGTCGGCCAGCACATGTTTCCCCAGGCACTGAGCCATACATTTTCTTTACGACGCAATTGGGTAATCAGCTTGCCTTGATACCCAACTATCTACGGCCCTGACCACCATTATCTCATCCAGGTTTCCTGTCAAGTGGACACACGACCTACCGTTCTGACAGCTTGCTTTCGTATTTGCCCCATTATCCACGACATCGTACCAGTTTGGAAAACAAATAGACTTCCTTCTTGAACTGGTTGGCCCGCATCAATCTTGAATGCGCTTTTTGCCAACCACCTGGATGGCTAAGGCTATCGTTACTTGCGAGTGTATCTAGAGCTCGCGCAGGTATGCCATTTCCTGCGAATTTATTCCTCAAGCATTCCATATTTTCACCATCCATCAACTCGTTCAAATAAATGTATAACTCATCTTTCTAACGCCGTCATCACTAGGTACGAGTGATTGTTATCATCCGTCAGCAACCTCTGACCTTCCCTGGGCCGACCTGGGTCACGGTCGCACCCCGCAGTCATGTTGGAAGGCTTGGTCGCAAACCTGCTCAATCGCTTCTTGGGCTATTATGTCAAGAATTTCGATGCAAAACAATTGAACATCGGTATCTGGTCCGGCGATGTCAAGCTTCGCAACCTCGAGCTGCGACGGGAGGCTCTTGATCAACTACATCTTCCGTTAAATGTCGTCGAAGGCCACCTCGGCGAGCTCACCCTGTCCATACCCTGGTCTAATCTGAGAGGGAAACCGGTCAAAGTTGAAATCGAAGATGTGTTTCTCCTAGCAGCCCCGAAGGAAGATGCGGACTATGACCCGGAGGAAGAGGAACGAAGAGCTTATAACCTCAAGATGGAAAAGATTGAGAGTGCGGAAATCTTGCGAGAGCGGAATACAGAGGGCATGAGCCAGGAGGAACAGCGACGGAACCAGAGCTTCACCCAGAGCCTCGTCACCGCCGTTGTTGACAACCTCCAAATATCCATCAAGAACGTGCACTTTCGATACGAGGACTCGATTGCTTCACCAGGTCACCCTTTCGCCATCGGTCTTACACTGAAGGAACTCAGCGCTGTGAGCACTGACTCCGAATGGAACCCTACTTTCATCCAATCGACCTCCACTACCACCCACAAACTAGCTACACTGGGTGCGCTATCAGTATATTGGAACACTGATGCCGAGCTTCTGGGCACAGGACGAGGCTCTGACCTGGGCGCAGAAGCACAAGGTATTAGGCACGCGGAGCTGATTGAGAAACTAAGAACTGCCATTGAGAGCGAAGAGAGCCACCAGTTTATGCTTCGTCCCGTCAGTGGTCGTGCTGGCTTGGAGTTGGATAAGTCAGGAAAGCATGACCGGCCAGCCATCAAGACACGGTTACTGTTTGATGAGCTTAGTTTCGTTCTGGACGACGATCAATATCGCGATGCTCTAATGCTAGTCGATCTTTTCCATTACTTTCTTCGTCATCAGGAATACAAGAAGCTCCAGCCGAAATGCAGACCGAAAGAGGACCCCGGGCATGGTTCAGATTCGCCGGAGAAGCGGTTCTCAGCAAAATCCACGATCGAAACCGGCGCTGGTCGTGGGATTATATCAAAGAGCGACGGGACGACCGTATAGCCTACATCCATCTGTTCAAGAAGAAAAAGCGGGAGGAACCCTTGTCTCCACAGGAGGCAGAGGATTTCGAACGTCTAGAACGAAAGCTCAGTTACGAGGATATTCGATTCTGGAGGTCATTGGCGAGAAATCAACTGCGGAAGGAGAATATTGGCCTCAAGAAGCCCGCACGCCAACAAACTTGGTCGGAATGGATATGGGGCACCAAGAAGGAGGAGTCTGAAGAGACCACGATGACCGAGGAGCAACGGCAGGAACTCTATAATGCCATTGACTGGGACGAGAAGAAAGCGATCGCCGAGAGTGTCGAAGTGCCAAGAGAGTGGGTAAAGCTTCAGGTCAACTCCGGTCTCAGAGCCGGAAGCTTCACATTGAGGCGTGATCCCCACGGAAAGTGTAGTGAAGTCATGAAATTGGTGTTTGACAATCTACGAGCGAAGGCTTTGCAGCGCCCGGATTCCTTCTTCATCGAAGTTGATCTGGGTGGGCTCAGAGTGTATGACGGAACAACCGAAGGTAGTCTCTTTCCACAGATAGTCAAGGTCAAGGATTCTCTCCCACAGTCCGAGGACAGTCAAACGCAGCCCCCTGATGGTAACGAGTTGCATCCGGAGACCAACGAGGAATACGAGGAGGCTGAGGATAACCTGTTTCAATTCCAGCTTGAGAAGAACCCATTGGAGGGCGACGCCGACTCGGTGGTGAAAGTCAAGATGAAGAGTATCGAGGTCATCTATAATCCGAGGTTCCTTGTGGAGATTGTTAAATTCTTCGAGCCCCCTGAGCGACACATGGAGTCCATCGGAGCCCTCTTGGACTCAGCAGGAGCAACTGTCGAGGAAATCCGCCAGCAAACCCGAGCAGGCTTGGAGTTTGCCCTGGAGGAGCACAAGAAGGTCGATGCTCACTTCGACATACACGCACCTCTCATTATAGTGCCAGAAAGCATTACACAAGAAAGCTCCCTCTGTCTCATCTTGGACGCAGGTCACATCAGTGTCAATAGTGAACTGGTCGATAGGCAGACCATGAGAGACCTCCAGGCCAAGCAGAAACGGCAATACGATGAGAACGACTACAAGGAACTGGAGCATTTGCTATACGATAGATTCCTTCTTAAGCTTGACTCCACCCAGGTTTTGATCGGCCCTGGAATTGAGAGTACTAAATCGCAACTCACATCCGAGGTCAAGAACCGAAACTTTCATATCATCGATCGTATAAACGTGGACTTTGTCTTGGAACTGTGTATAGTACCGAAAAGCACCGAGCTCACCAGGACTCGAATATCAGGCCATCTGCCGGAGTTACACGCTTCGATGTCTGACATAAAGTACAAGGGTCTGATGAAATTGATTGACATCGCAATTCCACGATTTGACGAGGGAGGTGTTTCCGATCGTTCGCCCGCAAAGAGCTCGAGTGAATCGACAACAGCAGGGAATAGAGCAAGATCGGCTTCCTTGCAGCCCTCAGTACCCAGGGAACTGCCGGTCGTCGATGAAGATTCCGATTCCGAGACAGATCACGAGCAGACAAAGAAAAGTGTCGATAGACTGCCCAACATTCACCGCAAAGATTTTGAATTTAAGTTCACAGTTGGCTGTCTCCGTGGCTCACTGTTCCGGTCGGATCCAAATGACCAGTTTCGAGACCAATTGTTGGTAGAGCTTGTTGCTGAAGGTTTCGAATTAGACTATTATATGCGACCGTTCGACATGGTGGCAGAGATCGTTCTGCAGTCTCTGAGTGTGGACGACTATATCGAGGAAAACCCCATTCCTGACTTCAAGAGGATCATTTCTTCCAAGGGATTCGACGCAGACGAAGATAAGGACCTCTTTCACCTCAAATTTGTTCGAGTCAAGCCAGAGTCACCCGAGTTTCTGTCTACCTACGAAGGTATAGCAATGAACCTTGATATGTCCATATCTACCATAAACCTTGTGGTCACTAGGAAGACACTTCTCACTCTGCTGGACTTCGTTCTCCTCACCTTCACCAGCCCAGAGCAGCCCAGAACCCAGATACCGTCGTCCGACGAGACTGTCCAGGACACCACTGCTCTCACCCAGGACACAGAACAGCCGGGAAAGATTCGGATCAAAGCTGACTTGAAGAGCATCGCCCTCATTCTAAACAATGACGGCGTCAGACTTGCTACACTGAGTCTTCACACTGCGGACGTGGGAATTAATCTTGTTGGCCGCTCAATGCTTATCCAGTCTCGAATCGGTAGCTTAACCCTCATAGACGATGTCAATACCGGCGCCTCAGCCACCTCCGACCTGCGGAGGCTTTTGACCATCGAGGGTGATAACTTCGCTGATTTTAAATACGAGACCTTTGATCCCGAGAGCACAAATTATCCCGGTTACGACTCTGAGGTCTATCTAAGATCGGGTTCTATCAAAATCAATTTCCTCGAAGAGCCATATCGCAAGATCATCAATTTCCTTGTCAAGTTCGGCAAGATGCAGGCTATCTTTAATGCTGCCCGCCAGGCCGCGGCTAGTCAAGCCAACCAGCTGCAAGAGAATGCATCTAAGATGCGATTTGACGTCGTTGTCAAAACTCCAATCTTGGTATTTCCCGGTGCCGTGAGACCTGATCGACCCCGCGACACAGTCACTGCTCATCTCGGAGAGATTTATGCTAAGAACACTTTCGTTCCTCTGGATGAACATGCGGAAAGTCCCGCCGTTAACCTGATTTCTTCAGGCATACGCAATATCCGCCTGACATCCAAGTTCCACTTCGGGGAAGATGTAGTCGAAGAGCTGGAGATGATCCAGAAAGTCAACTTGGACTTCAGCATTTGCTACCTTGAGCATCAGAAGGATAATCCACGTCCAGATATGGAAATCGAAGGGTCTATGTCTCCCATAAACCTTAGAGTGTCGCAAAAGCAACTCAAATTTCTGCTAGAGCTCTCGAAAACTGTGCCCGGCGCTTTCTCAACCGACTATGAGCAGCAAGAACTCGAAGCCTTTGAAGATCTTCCTACGTCTGTAACAGACACAAGCAAAGGAGCAGATTTGAAACTCGCTCAAACCACCCAGGAGCATGAAAAGA